AGTGCTTTTTCTACCTTGGGGTACTTTCTATTTTCCTTTCCTTTCCTTTCTTTTCCTACAGTTTTTCCTTTGCTCTTTCTTCATAGAAGCAAGCATCTCATGAAGTTTTTAAACGCCCAGCAATTGTCCGGTTACAACTTTTGCCTCCTCCTCCTCCTCCGCAGCGGCACTTTCCCGGTGAGGATTCTGCATCTGCCGCTCGCTTCGCCTGTCCCTTTCCTCTGCTTAGAGAGATTCTCGGCGATTTCTTTACGATGACTCATCCGAATGAGTGGAATTTTTCCTGGGCCAGCTCTTTGCCGGAGCATCTTGTGGGAGAGGTCAGGGCAACGTTCCCTGTTAGCTGGAATTTTCCTCATGACCCGGGGTTTGAGATGTGAGTTCCATCAGCCTTCGCTTCTCAGCGTAGGTGCTGCTCTGCCTGTGCATGTTTGGCAACTCAGAGATACTGGCCTCTGCGGAGGAGATTGGCATAATTTAATTTTCACTTGTTTTTTTCATTTGTCGCCTAAATGATGAGAGTGGAAGTTTGTGTCCCCGTGCCGGGGGCAGAGACAGAGGGTAGAAAGACAGAGCATCTGCGCCTCAGTCTCATAAGGACCAGGTCTGAGCAGCCCAGAGAGAGGAGCTGTGGCCAGCAGAGACAGCTCTTCTGCTTCGGGTCCCCAAGACCAGGTGAGGTGCCACAGCGTGGCAGAGAAGGCGAGCGCTTCTCCCTACTCCTGCCAGGAGTGGGGCTCTGAGGGAACAGCCCTGCTGAAATCGCTTCAACTGAAATCTTAGGTTACAGTGGACAGAAAGCAGCTGACCAACGTGTGGAACCACCGGCTTTCCCTTCTCCTTCTACCTTACACATGTATCTGATGCGAACATCAAGGACAAGGCCACTGTCACCACATCTCACCACCCTCGCCACTGCCACCTGGGCCCTGGATCCCAGACTGGCCTAGAACCTTTTAAGACCCAGTTAGGAGTCTAAATGTTTGACGTCTTAATCAGCGAAGAATCTAGTGTGGATCACAGAGTCAGAGGAGAAATCGAGTATCAGACCCTGTAGAGATGGGGCTGCCCCGGACTTTCCGTGTCTCTCGGGGGCTCTATCTCAGATTCAGATTCCCCGGAATGAGAGAGTCTCATGTCTATCAGTCACATCAGGAAAGAACTAAAATATGTCAGCTGCCAAAAGCTAACATTCTCTATTTGCTTTTGCTTTTCTAGAAGAAGCGGCGGAGCAGTACTGTGCTTGGGCTCATCCTCCTTAGAGAACGCCTGCCCGTTTCATGCAAAGTGAAGATCAAAGGAACCAAATGACAGCAGCAGCCAACTGTGATCATCAGTCGCCCTATACTCTTGACCATGGTAAAAGCCAACCACCCTCTCCACCCTGACATTTAAGT